CTGTAGCTATTTGACAAAACTGGGAGTCCAGGATGTGACCCTTTTGCTCTCCCCATCCTTTCTCATCCTCCCTCATCCCACTTTCCTTTCTGTTCCCCCACACTGAGCTTTAGTGACAAGTATTAGCCTGGGCTTTGGATAAAGTGGTGTCTTACCATCTTTGTACTACAGCACATGTCATAGTATCAGGTACACAGTAGCTGCTCACTAACTGTTGAATAAAATATGAATAAACACGTATATGATCAGAAGAGGGCATGGTTAAAGATGCAGCGAATGGAAGACAGAAACCGGATGCTATACGTGCAAATGAGAAGCACAGACACAGTGGAGTCAGCCCAACAACACAGATTGCCGGCTTGAGACACCATTTGGGAGTCTTACTACCTGGCACTCTTTTTTATATCCTACACTTTTCCCAATAAATTTTTGCTACTTTTCCCATTGCCTTACCAGTCTTTTCTACACTGATATGTATGGTTCCCCAATTTCAGCTAAATGAGTATACGTTTCATTGTGACATTTTTAATCTGTGTCAAACTGAAACTGCACATAAGGCATATGCCTAAATATGTGACACCATTTACAATAAGGCATTCTCCTGCTTTCCCAACGAAGAGATCCAAAAAGGTCTGGCTTTAACTTAAATGTGTAGACTTCTAGGAACACAGATTAAGCAGTTATGTGTCTGTTTACACTGTTTAATTTGTTGATTGTTATGCATGCATGTTTAAACATATCATCTAAAATATGAACTTTTTATTTAAATTTTTTGAAACAGTTTTAGTACTTCCATATGAATCTTAAATCTTTTAACACACCTTGCTTTCATTAAGTTATTTGAGATATATTACTTTTTTGAATCTGGAGTTGATGCTATCACTGGAAATTTTTATCACAAACCCACAAGTTCCTCTCATATAACATTAGAACATTTTTTCATTCATTTTTAGTGTACTTTCAAGAGTCCCACAATGTAATCATATACTATGTATTAAACTGATAATAAAAAGTCATGTTTACAATCTGGCCAGGGTGGCCCATTGATTGGGCGTTGTCCCACAAACCGAAATGTCAGCAGTTCAATTTCTGGTAGACATATGCCTGGGTTGCAGGTTCAGTCCCCAGTCAAGGCACATACAGAAGGCAGTCAATTGGTATTTCTCTCTCCACATCAACGTTTCCCTCCCTTTGTTTCTCCCTCCCTTGTCCTCTCACTGAAAACCAAAACAAAAAGGAGAAGAAGAAAACAAGTCTTGTTTACCATAACAAATAATACTAGAAATTATGATACAACATTCTCTGCAAAGATTACATACTAAACCATTTTAAAAATTTACTTCCCATCTTTTTTATTTAACAGATCCTTTAAGATGACCTCTTGCAAGCATTCTACACTAGCAGTGATTCCTGCTGGTTCAAGCCAATATGTCCTCCCAAAACAGTACCTTATGATTCAGGAAAGGAATTGAGAGAGTATCCCATAGTGGAAAGGAGCTTGTGAATCTTAACTATGAAGCACCTTCCACTCTAGTATTTAAGAACGGTGGAGAAAAACCTTTTATATTTGGAAATCTACTAGAAGTTTATTTCCTTTTAATTTTTTGCTTTACAATAACAACACCTTTTTCTCTTTAGGCCAGTATGATGATTAGAAAAGAAAAGTAAATCATAGGGGTATGTGGAATCAAGAAGTAACCAAATGTGATTGGATTAACACCTAACTTTCCAGTTGTCGGGTCATAAGAAGTTTCGAAAGATGTGTTTTTATTGTGAGTTAAGGAGGGTTGTGTGAGTGTGTGTAATGCCATAATTATGGGTTGGCCTCCAGTAATTAGAAAGTTGCAAAGGGGGAATTCCAGTCAAGATGACAGCACAGGTAAATGCAGTACTCAAATACTCCCACAACCGCATCAAAATTACAACTAAACTATAGAACAACCATCATTCAGGACCTCCTGAAACTAGCTGAATGGAAGTCCTACAACCAGGGATTTAAAGAAGCCACAACAAGACTTGTAGTTGGGGTGGAGATATAGAACAGGCTGGTTCGACACACACGTAGCAGATAAAAACAGGAAGGATATCCTGACTGTGGAGGTGCCCCCCGAGGATTGAGGGGTGCCAGCCCCACACCAGGCCCCGAAGCTCAGGGTTCCAATGACGGGAGGAGAAGTTCCCACAGCTTCTGGCTGTAAAACCCAGTGGGAATTGAGGCTGAGGGAGATGAAGGGCTTTAAGAGTCCCAGGCATTCCTCTTAAAGGGTCTTCATAAGGAAATACTTGGAGGTACTACCTCTGAGCTTCAGCACTGTGACAGGTGCTCAGAAGGCACCAGGGATGTGTGGGGAAGAACTGAGCTGTCTGGCATCAGGGCAGAAGCTGAGGGGCAGCTTTCTCCCAAACAGAAATGCTGACAGATGCCATTATTTTTTTGGTGAGCCCTTCTTCCCCCCAACAAGCCTAGAGGAAGGTGCCGTATCTAAGTCTCCACCAACCTGGCTATCACTGTTCCCCCAATCCTGGTGATTCCCTGAGGCCACACCCCACCCAATTTACAAGCCCACCCACACCACTCCCAGTTGCTTTTCCATACAAATGACCTCTCTTGCCACAGGCATCAGACTTTCCTGAAATCTCTCAAACAAGCAGCATCTGGTCTCTGTGTATCTGGGCCTCTGGCTCAGTGGCCCCAGGCCCAGCACTAACAGGAGCTGGCCTTAGTTCACAACTTGGCCTCTCCAAGGTACCTCCAAGCCCAGCTCAGGTAGCAGCCATCTGCAAATAATTCTATAGCCCGTTCCAGGTGGCTTCAGGCAGGGTACCGGTGGTGGCTGATCTTGTACCTCTAGGAGGCCCCAGAGCCAGTGTGCCCAGTGGACAGCTTCAGACCACACTGGTTTACAACCTTGCCACCTCCCCCAGCGACACACTCAAGGGGCGGACTGGGTAAGCAACAAAGCCTCACTAGAGCAAGTCCTGCTCCATAGGGTTGGTTTCTGCATAGCAGCTCCTCCACTGTAGTCACAGCTGGTCCTTGAAGCCAGTTTGCGTAAGGGATCAATCCCTCCCAGTAATACCAACAGCAATCAAGGCTGAACTACAACAGACACTTCACACGACCCACACAGGGGCACACCTGAAGCACCGAGGCTGGGTAACGGGGGATTGGGAGGTGGAAGGCTGCACCACTGGGCCCTACAGGACACCTACTACACAAGGCCACTCAACCAGTCTGAGAGATGGAGCAGCTCTACCTAATACATGGAAATAAACAGAAGAAAGCAGGCAAAATTCAGAGACAAAGAGACAGGTCCCAAATGAAAGAACAGGAGAAATCTGCAGAAAAAGAACTAAATTAAATGTAGGTAAGCAAATTACCAGGTGCAGAGTTCAAAACAATGATTATAAGGATGCTCAAGGAACTTAGTGAGAACTTCAAGGAACTTTGTGGGAACTTCAACAGCATGAAAAAGGACATAGAAACTCTAAAAAATAACTAGTCAGAAATGAAGGGTACACTAACTGAAATGAAGAATTTATAGGGAGTTAACAACAAAGTAGATGAAGCCAAGAATCAAATCAACAATTTAGAATTTGAGGAAGCAAAAAACACTCCATCAGTACATCAAAAAAAGAAATGCAGAAAAAGTAAGGCTGGAATAAGGAGCCTCTGGGACAATGTCAGGCATTCCAACATTCATGTCACAGAGGTGCTGGAAGGAGAACAAAATTGAACACCTATTTGAAAAAATAATAACAGAAAACTTTCCTAACAAACCACCCCCCCCCCCCCCCCCCCCCCCCCCTCTCAACTTCCTCAAAATCCCTCCCCCTTTTTCCCCTTAAGTTCCCTTCCCTCTCCCCTCAGAAAACTTTCCTAACTTAATGAAGGAAAAAGACACACGAGCCTACAAAGTGCAGAGAGTTCCAAACAAGTTGAGCCCAAAGAGGCCCACACCAAGACACATCACAATTAAAATGCAAACATTTAAAGAAAAGGACACGATCTTAAAAACAGCAAGAGAAAAGCAGTTATTTGCAAGGGAGTTCCCTTAAGATTGTCAGCTGATTTCTCAACAGAAACTTTGCAGGCCAGAAGGGAGTAGCAAGAAATATTCAAATACAATACACAAATATGTATTGTAGAACTGTACAACTGAACCCTATATAATTTTATTAACCAATGTTACTCCAATGTATTCAATAAAAAGGAAAAAATATTCAAAGTGATGAAAAGCAAGGCCTTACAACCAGGGTTTACTCTACCTAGCAAAACTGTCATTTAAAATCAAAGGACAGATGAAGAGCTTTCCAGACAAGGAAAGACTAAAGGAGTTCATCACCACCAAACCAGTATTACATGAAATGTTACAAGGTCTTCTTTAAAAAGGAGGTGGAAAAAAAAGATTAAAAATATGGACAGTAAAGTGAAAATAAATACATATCTATCAATAATTAAATCTAGAAATCAAACAGGCAGAACAGAAACAAACATACATACAAAGAACATTTGGATGGTTGCCAGATGGGAGTGGGGGTTGCGGAAATGGGTGAAAACGGTGAAGGGATTAAGAAGTAGAAAAGGATAGTTACAGAATAGTCACAGGTAGTAAAGTACAGCATAGGGAATATAGTCAATAATGTTGTAATAACTGTGTGGTATCAGATGGGTATTAGATTTATCGGGATGATCACTTAGTAAGTTCTATAATGCCTAATCACTGGAATATACACCTGAAACTGATAGAATATGTCAATGCAATATGTCAACTGTAACTGAAAAATAAAAAATGATTTTTAAAAGAGTTGCATGTGGTAAAAAGCAAGCAAATTCGGCTAAGTGGATTGTTAGGTGAAGAAAACAAGTTGAATTTGTCATTTTGATGGCAGAAGACATCAAAATAGTTTGGTACACTCATCAGTTTATATATAGAAGTGTGTGGGTTCTCAGTTTTTCAACATTAAATGTACATTTTATATATTTATATATGTTTCAGGCTACGTTATTAGAATTTTGAAGACATGAAAACATCGGATGAACCAACCTGCAACGTCTTGGACTCAGATCGGAAGATGAAGAGAAAGTTTAAAGAATGTGGCCTCTAAAGGCGGGTAGTACCTGGAAATATTAACCGACTCACATTGTAAAAATGAGACCGATTTTTAAACAGTAGAGATTATTTTAGTCCAACATCAAGGTTCAAGACAACATGTTGAACTAAAAACTACACTCCTCCCCTCCCCCACTTCAGACAGGTACCAGCATTGGTCAAATATGGTTTTCCTTAGTCAGAAGCACTCCTTTTCACCCATGTAGGTCATTCTTAGGAATTAAATATTGGTTATTTAATGTAGATTATAATGGGAAACTGATTTTTTCCACAATGGCAGATTTCAAGGACTTGGTTCCAAACTGAGCCGAAGCGTCCCAGTACATTTTGTAGTCTGGGAACAACTATGCTGCACTGGCCGTTTTTGAAGGCCATCATGCCCTGTAATATAAGGATATCATCTTATTGCTGATATCTTTGGAGAGTCCCAAGCAGATACAGAAAATGAATGGAGGCAAGGAGTGTGACGGAGGGGACAAGGATGGAGGTCTTCCAGCTATACAAGTTCCTGTGGGCTGGCAGCGCCGTGTGGATCAGAATGGAGTTCTTTATGTCAGGTGAGCCCTCGTTACTACCTGTGTCACCTCCAAGTCTGCAGTCCCCAAATTAAGGAGGCAGAGTCTGTTCCTCTGAGGGAGCAAAATATTGTGACTGACAGCACCTCAAATAAATTTGAATAAATGAACTTTGTGCTAAAAATATTCAGGTAATTTTAATCTGTACTATTTTGCAATGTAAATTGCCCTAGGTTACAAGAGAGAGGTTTTATGCGTTACTTGTGTTTATATAATGTGTCATTCTGCTTATCACTGTAACAAGGATAAAGAAAAAAATAAAGATTTCTAAAAGAAACATAGGTGCTATTACCACATTCACAAGAGAATGTAAATACCGGAAACAGAGCTAATGTCTCTTGATAATGTGATTCTGTCCTTCATGGTGCTTCAACTGGATTTTCGGATGTAAGGTTCATGTTTTCATCTACAGGCAGTTTTAATTATTACACTCCTTAATGCCTAATATTACATAAAAATTTCCCAGTTTTTTTCTGCATAGTTTTTGAGCTATACCTTTGCATATTATAGTAAAAAAAAATCAAATCATACAAATAAAATGCAAATGCCTGCTCTTTTACATTTTGAAGGCAGGTATCACTGATAGAGCAAGCTGAGTGGAATAACTAAACTGTTGGCAAGGAGTTTCAGTCTTATTTTCAAATAACCGATGCCCAAGTTCCTTACATAGTAGCTTATCAATAGTATATGAAAAGTTACAATGCCATAAATCTTTCTTCGTGATATAATACAAATTATTAGAAATAGACTTAGAACTTTTTTAAAGATATCACATGGCACCAATATATTAATGCTGTTACTTTTAATGCAGTTATGTGTATCTCTGCTTCAGTGGAATTCTCTATTTGTGCAAAGATATATTTATATGAAAGAGGTATTTGCCATTGTATAAACATAAATGATTTCGTGTCATAACTCAAAACTCAGTTCAGATTCTGTCTTGGGTTGGTTTTATGTTAGGTATTTCTTAACAATTAATAATTCTTTTGCACATCAGTTTTGTTTGTTTGCCTCTGGGAATGTTAAAGATGTGCTCTGCATTAATTGGAGTGAAGGAATAAGGAAGCAGGGGCTGTGGAGCTTGTCCCACAGTCGGTAAGGTGGACACATGGGGTGACTTTCTCAGTGTTCATATTGCCCATGCTGTTACCACACTGCCAGAGACACTTGGTTATTAATATAATGTAGCAAGGTGTGTTACTGTTTATATTTATGATTGTTCTAGTCTGTAAGGAGCAAGTGTGTGTTCATCTTAGAGCAACTGACTCTAAGATCTTGATAATCTAATTTTTTTACTTCATCTTCATTCCAGTGAAAGACAGATCAGCTTTCTGAATTGCAGAAAACTTAAGTTAAACCCTGAGGGGTTGGGAGGCAGGAATGGTGGAGGTAAATGCAGACAACTATACTTGAACAACAATAAAATAATGTTTAAAAAAGAAAATGAAATTTACTTTAAAATAAACTAAGTTAAACCACAGTAAGTCTAGGAATCTGTAAGTTATCTTTTCCATGATTGTCCAGGCATAAGTAGACTTCACTGTGTATTAGTGTGAGGTAGCGTAAGTTCTCCAAATCCAGGTCTTGCACTAAGAATTCTTCTCACAACTAACTCTGCCAGATAAGGTAAAACACTTTCAAATAAATTAAACCAATATGGGTTCGATCTGTTTGTATATAACTGGTGACATCACTACCTGAACCCGTATAGGAGGCTAGCCCCCTTCTCTAGCCCCCTTCTCTGTGTGCAGTTTGCTGGTAATTTTTAGGTTTGTCTTCAGTTGCTATGCCTCAGGGAGGCATTGAGGCTGCACAGTAGATTTGCCACCTGCTTCCAACCTCCTAAGCTTTATCTATGCCTTAAGACTTGTAACTATTTTCTATGTTAATTATTATTCCCAAAAGTTAATTAAAGAGGTACAACTAAAGAAAAGAACTGAACTGACTGACTGAGAGGAAGTGTTTTTAAAGTGTCTGGAGTACTCTAATAGAATTTAGGAGCTTTTGTCTTTGGTTTTAATGTTCCAGTTAAATTCCTCTAGGGTTTAGTCTGTACATTTTCTTTAACTATAAAATGTTAGGCAATTTCATGTCACAAAACTCATGAACTTTTCAAGTAACTCTTTGGCGATCTTATTTTATTTAAATTAGTAGGGCTCCGAAACATCTCGTCCTTACCACCGGAGTGGAACTCAAGTCTATAATATGGGAATTATTACTTTTTACAGACCATTTGAAAAAAAATTGTTAGCCTAAGTAAATGAATGAGTGAATCGACAAAGTTGAGAATTTTAATTGAGGTTTTCTACATGCATAAGTCACTTACATGATTGTCCATAAGTAAAATATTAATTGTATTTTAAAGCTGGTCCATTTATAGATGCAAACTACCTGTAGTAGAGTAGTCTACCCCAGTAGTGTAATGCTCTATATTATTTCTGGTCAAGTCCAGATTTGACCAGAAGGCTCAAGTGAAGGTTTTGGTAAGTAGCCAGAAATAAAAGGTATTCTTGAATAAAAAGTATATAATAATTTTCAAGGTTGTAAAATTAATATTTTAATAATAAACATCTTAAAATGCAAATGATCAGTTTTAAACTAACCCTCGTTGTGAATAAAAATTGAATAAAAGCAAAGAGTGATAACTTGAGAACACGGCCCATTTACCAGCCAGAAGCCCTGGCAGGTGCCTCCCTAGCACCGAAGCCCTGCTTCCTCAAGAGCCCCCTCAGCCTTTGTCAGATCCGCCCGGCTCCTCGCTCCTTGTCAGAATGGTTCGGCTCTTCGCAGTAATTGGAGTTGAGCCGCACAGATCTATCTTCAAAGAAACACGTGGATGAGGGAGAAGAAAAAGGAAACCTATTTTTACATAAGGGCAACTTGGTTGTAGTCTCCGAGATTAATGGAGAGAACTTGCTAGCTCCAGCTTTTGTACACTTAGTGACTTTCCAGTTTGACCTCCAGTGTGTTCCTAAATTTCCGTTTTCCCTCCAACAGCTCTAAGTGTACATCTTCTGGTTTAAAATGATAATGATTACTTTCATGGAGTTTTCTTGTTTCTTGCTTGCTTGTGCTTCAATCGTCTTTTCCTAAGAATAGCATTTTCCCCAGTCTAGTCCAGTTTTGGTTTTCAGAATACTTCTGTTTAATTTTCTGTGAAGATCTGTATTTTTCTGAGAAATATTTTGGTTCACAAGAAAGAGTGATAGTGCTGAAAGACTATAATTTAGTAGCTAACATAATATTGACAAAGGAAATGCTTTTCCTTAGTAGGAAAATATTACCCCATGAAGGAAGTAAGACTATAAATTATGCCTTTTTTCACATAATATGTGCAGTCAGAATTATTTCCTGATGTTTTGTAAAATTATTTTTACAGTCCCAGTGGGTCTTTGTTATCTTGCTTGGAGCAGGTTAAAACATACCTGCTTACTGACGGAACATGCAAGTGTGGCTTGGAATGTCCTCTTATTCTTCCCAAGGTAACCATTTCACAACAGATCTCTCAGCGTTTTTTTATTTTTTAGGTGTTTTGTGTATTTGCGTTTCTCATTTGACATTTCGTTTTTACATTACTTCTCCAATCACATGTTACTTCTAAAGTCTAACTAGATATCTTTTGCATGCATTTTGGAATACTTAGTGATTGTGGAAAATGGTTCAAATCCTGGAGTCATTTTTAAATATTTTATGTTAAATATTTTGTTAAAACCTCTTCTGCCCATTTTATTAGAACTGTACCTATGTTCACCATTTAATAGTGCAGTATTTTCTTAATAGTGCAGTATTTTCTTTCCCTACTATAACTGTTCAATCTAAAATGATAATTCTGCCACCAGTGTTTCTAAAGTCACAAAGCTAACATGTGAAACTGTTTTACTTCTTTGCAAGGTAGAAAGTAAAAATTGTGATAAATGACAAAATATTACTACTCTAGAAAGAGACTGTGTTCTCCAAGGATCTGTTATGGTGCCGGTTTTAGAACTTGGGTTAACAGACACCTTCTTTCTCTTTATGTGTGTGTCACATCATTCCAAAAAGTTGATTTGAAACATCTCATAAGTATGTACACAATAGATAGTATTTTTTTAAAACAGAGAAATAGATTTTTAATAGGTGAAAGGGAATGTTAACATAGTAATAAAAGTAAGCCAAAGGAAAAGTTAGCATGTAGAAATGTCAGCTTGGATTTCAAATTGAACTTCATCTATTTTTTGTACTGTTATAGCATCAGGAAATATCTATATTAGCAACATTATCAGATAGTATATCTTTGCATGCATTTATCTTGGCTATCTTAGAATTAGGATAATTTTCATTACATACTGTGCCGCTAAAAACCAAGAGTTCAGCAAAAGTATTTACCAAGTTATATAAGGTTGCTTTTCTTAAATTTAAAAACTGGAGAAAATTTTATTCAGATTTGTGGCTTAATCTACATAAAGAAATTCTTTAAACAAAGGATCTTTTCATTTTATGCTTTTACAACATACTCTAAACAAAGGCCATCCTTTTCCAGGTGTTTAACTTTGATCCTGGAGCTGCCGTGAAACAAAGAACTGCCGAAGACGTTAAAGCAGATGAAGATGTCACAAAGCTATGCATACACAAAAGAAAAATCATCGCCGTGGCCACACTTCATAAAAGCATGGAAGCCCCACACCCTTCTCTGGTGCTCACCAGTCCCGGAGGAGGAACAAGTATGTAACCCCGGGGAGGGTTCAGGACTTTGCCGCCCCACCACTCCTCACCAGTCCTGGAGGAGCCATGAGAAATCACTTTGTCAAGCATTTTCCAAGCCCACTTTTCAAACATGCACATGGCTGTTAAAGTTATGAATGTTTTATCATTTTATTACAAAGAGCAAATTCACCCCGAAAAATCTTCCAAGAATTTCTGAAAAATTCTCATCAATTTGTTTCCCAAAATTTCCTATCCAAATAAATCATCTAGTTACACAATTAGACTAAGCATTCATTAGCACATAGAAATGTTATGCAGATATAGAGCTCAGCTAACAAAAAGAAAGTGCCACAGATTTTTAGGAAACTAATGCAGCCTTTATTGGAGTGTGTGGTATCAAATGTTCAAATGCAACTAGCAGTATTTTCAAGAACTAGCAGTATTATTTTTTCTGTCATTTAACAGCTATTTATTGAGCACCTACTAACAGATCTTACCTTGTCGGCAGCTTTTTGTACCTTCCCCATCGTGCTCGTATGTATGCATGCATGCTTTCACTTTCTAAAAAAAATTCAAAGGTGCAGAAAACTTGCGTGAACAGTTCACTGAATGCCACATACCCTTCATCTAGTTTCCCTAAGTAACCATTTTGTTACAGAAATTGCAGATGTTGTAAAAATTGACCCCTAAATAGTTCAGCACACAAGGACATTCTCCTCATAAACCAAAATCTAATTATCACATTCAGGAAATTTAACACTGATACAATATTATCTAATATGCAGTCTATATTCAGATTTCTCCAGTTGTCCGAATAATTTGTTATAGTTAGTTTCAATCCAGTTTTTTTAAATTCAGGATGCAATCAGAGATTCTGCACTACAGTTAGTTGCGACATTTCTCTAACCTACACCAATTCCTCAGTCTCTTTCATTCTTTCCTGGCATTGACATTTGTGAAGAGTCCAGGTCAGGGTTGTAGGATGTTCTTCAATTTGGATTTGCCTGATTGTGTCCTCATATGTATATTCAGGTTAAACCCTTTTTGCTAGGAATAGTGCACAGGTGATTTTATGTCCTCCTCAGGAGACACATAGTGTCAGTTTGCCCCAAATGGATGACCTTAAGTTTGATGGCTTGGTTGTAGATATATCCATCTGATTACTGCATTGTTAAGGTACCCTTTCCCTTTACAATTAATATGTAACATGTGGAATTATCCTTTGAGACTGAGGAACTTCTTTTTGTAAGGGCTAGAGTATTAACTCTCTCTAAAATATTACAATCTACTCAGCACCTAAACAGTAATAAAATTCAGAATAAAATATGGCCAAGTGCCAAAACATTTGTTTATGAAGGAAAAGTGATGTTGTTTTGCAAAGCTTTGAGAAAAGTAGAGATGATGAGGATAGCCTGTAGTGATCAGAGAAAGCAGATTTCAACCAGTCTGGGGAAGGGTAGGATTTAGACATATGAAGGAAATAAGAAAGTTCTTGTCCCGAATCCGTAGAAGTGATGATGGGGAAACTAATCTGACTGGAGGGAGAGTTAAGCCTGTGTGGGTAAATCGGGGTCCCGTGCAGACTTTCATACAGAGAGGAGCGGCTGTGACGTCACACAGGTGCAGGTTTACACTCGGAACTCAGCACGTGCACAGGGCAGGGAGAGGTGAGCTTCACAGCTGTCAGTGAGCTCCTTTCCAATAACCCTCTGACCTTTGAACCTTAACAGGAAAGATCAGGAAAAAATTGCTGCACTAAGGTATGTAAGGAAACAAAGTCTCGTAAGGGATTTTTCTTTTTCTTTTAATGAGCTACATTTTTTAATTAAAAGATATTACAATAAAGACATTTAATAGTAATGAATTATTTAACACACGTATCTTGCCACCTTGATGTAACTGTGTTTTCACTTTTTCATATATTCATATCTGCTGTCGTTCTCGTATCATATCATATCAAACAGTTCTACCTCTTTCTACAGCGTCTACCTTGTCTTTTTAATGAACTTAACAGAGTCATGATTTGGTCCTTTGTCGTACCCTATACATGCAAGTTTCATTATTGAAAAGAAAGGTAAATATTTAACTGGTACAGGTATAAGATGTATACGTCTATTCCCTTTTAAAATGGTGTACTTTTCGATTAATTGCTGCTGTTTTACTAGCATCAGGAATAACATTTATTTCACTTTTCTTATTTTAAACTGCTATCATGAGGTTGAACTTTAAATAATTAAGGGTTAAGAAGACTTGTATAGAAGTTTTCACCTCTAACATACATAAACATATATTTAGTTTCTACTTACTCTTTTGAAAGGTCTCCATGAAAGCCCTTGATGGGCACCTAACATTCATATTTACCAACCCTTGTAACCCTTGAGTTCCTAACCCCAACGTAACCACAGCATGACTTCTGTTGTGTATTTAGTATTCCTGTTATTTTAAAGATGGTAACTGGTTTTCCCCGGGTATGGAAGAAATCCTTTTAAAACCAGCTACTTTCTAAATTCTGTTGAATATTTTAAAAAATCCAATGCCTACATTTTTAATCATTTAACTGTAAATAATTACATAAATACCCTAGAAGAGACACAAGTCTGTAGTGTAGTTACTGAGGAGGATGCGTGAGCCCTGTAACAGGGCTGATACAGACAACTGTTCTCCCCACACGCCACACATAGTGCCTCGTATGTATATTTTTCATGTATGTATTATTTTTATCGCAAACTTTAAAAATCTCTTTTTAAAAGAAAGGAAGTTCAGGGGAGTTTATCTGCTACAATTCTCCTATATCATTGGTTCTCAACTTTTCATATATTATGTCCAGAAATGACTCTTACCAAAAATCTCCACCATGCGACAGACAGAAAGCCCACATTTCCACACTGTATTCTCTTACTTCTTGAATGCGCCTTACCTAGACCTCTGTGTACCCCAAGTTGAGAACCAGAGTCTTAGAAATTACTACATGATTTGATATGTATACCACCTAGAATGTAGGAGAAGTATAGGTATCTTAAATTTGCAAGTATTCATTTGAGTCAATGTACTTCTGATTGCAGATGAATTCAAATATACCTGCCAATATGCTGTGTCTCAGAGGGGAAATGGCCAGTGTGGCGTGGGTGGTACCACTCACATCCGCTGTGCCTGTGGTAACTCAGTGGGCCCGCGCGGAGCCCAGCAAAGCTCAGCATCCTTTTCATCACAGCCCGCTGAGCAGCCACCACCAGTTGATGGGACTTGGCCCATGAAATCAATTATCTTTTCTATCCCTGCTTTAGAAGGTATAACTTTATAAAATAGTCAAGCATCTGCAGGGGCTAAAAAGCTTAAACCTCACATTCTGACAGGATAAAGTGAAAGTTCAGTCCGACGTGCCAGAGTGCCTTTGTTGCCTGTGTTCTGTCTGATCTCCAAAGAACCTGAAGGGATTCCGGAAAGCCAGTGAGGGAGCAGTGCACTCTGTGAAAAGAGAATTCTCAATTAGAACTCAGTACTGAAGATTTAGCACTGTGACTAAATTTTGCATGGGAATTCTTCCTAACAAAAGAATTGCAGTTTTTTACCTGAATTGACTGACTAAAGCCAATTTTGCAGTAATGACTGATTAATGGCAAAGAAACTGTTACAGACTCGATGGGCAGCTAGACATGACTGCAGTACCACTGCATTTACTGTTAGTGCTCCCATTGTGAGAGATGCTGAATCCCATTCACTTAATTCACAAAAATTAAGACTCTTTTACTCTCACAGCGGAAATGGTGGGATAAGGAAGCATTTCTTTTAGCCATCTGAGGAGGTTTCAGTAAGAGAAATATTAATAGGGTAACAGATTTTTTTGGTGAAAATGGCAGTTCATTTAAATTGCCCAAGTAAATATGCCACAAAGATAATTTTCTATTGTAACTGTGTTCCTAAAAAATTCAAATCCAATAAGATAGTAACACCATCATTTCCATCTGGGCTGTCAGTCTTGATTTTGCATATTCTAAATATTACTGGAATGGCTAATGTCAGTGTGAACTAATTCAGATTTCCATCCTTTCTCCACAGATAAGAGACAAACAAGCATAATGAGCAGTTAATTGAGAACTTTTGGCCAACTAAGGGAGAATAATGTGCATTTTTTAAATCAAAACTTAATGTAGAGTGCAGAATTTCTAGTTGCATAGAGGCACAGCTTCTGTTTGCAGATTTCTATTTCCAGGTGCCATCCCTTCCTCATTTCCTGCTTTCCTTCCCTCCCCGCAACACCCCCCCCCACAAAATACAAAAGAACTTACACTCCTTAACAGACTTTTTTCTCTCTCTCACACATCAGATGCAACTCCAGTAGTACCTTCACGGGCAGCAACTCCAAGATCCATAAGAAATAAGCCTCATGAAGGAATTACAAATTCTGTAATGCCTGAATGTAAGAATCCTTTCAAGTTAATGATTGGATCATCAAATGCCATGGGAAGGCTGTATGTACAAGAACTGCCTGGAAGCCAGCAACAAGAACTCCACCCTGTCTACCCCCGGCAAAGATTGGGCAGCAGTGAACACGGACAGAAGTCTCCATTCCGTGGCAGCCACGGGGGCCTGCCCAGCCCAGCATCGTCAGGATCCCAGATTTATGGAGACGGCTCAATCTCTCCAAGGACTGACCCACTTGGAAGCCCCGATGTTTTCACAAGAAATAATCCTGGTTTTCATGGAGCTCCCAATTCTAGTCCTATTCACCTGAATAGGACTCCTCTTTCTCCACCTTCAGTAATGCTACACGGTTCTCCTGTACAGTCATCCTGTGCAATGGCTGGAAGGACTAATATACCTCTTTCCCCAACCTTGACTACAAAGAGTCCAGTAATGAAAAAACCAATGTGTAATTTTTCAACTAATATGGAAATACCACGAGCAATGTTCCACCACAAACCACCCCAAGGCCCACCTCCCCCTCCACCTTCTTGTGCTCTTCAGAAAAAGCCATTAACATCTGAGAAAGATCCACTTGGCATTCTTGACCCTATTCCTAGTAAACCGGTGAATCAGAACCCTGTTATCATTAATCCAGCCAGTTTCCATTCAAATGTCCACTCTCAGGTACCTGTGATGAATGTAAGCATGCCTCCTGCTGTTGTTCCTTTGCCAAGTAATCTCCCTTTGCCAACTGTAAAACCCGGCCACATGAATCATGGGAGTCATGTACAAAGAGTTCAGCATTCAGCTTCAACCTCCCTGTCCCCTTCTCCAGTGACATCCCCAGTGCACATGATGGGGGCTGGAATCGGAAGGATTGAGGCATCGCCCCAAAGATCACGCTCATCTTCCACATCATCAGATCACGGAAATTTCATGATGCCACCTCTAGGACCCCAGGCCACTTGCAGTGGTATCAAGGTTCCACCCAGGTCACCAAGGTCAACAATAGGGTCCCCAAGGCCATCAATGCCATCAAGCCCTTCTACCAAGTCCGATGGACATCATCAGTACAAGGATATCCCTAACCCATTAATTGCTGGAATGAGTAATGTACTAAATACTCCAAGCAGTGCAGCTTTTCCTACTGCATCTGCCGGAAGTGGTTCTGTAAAGAGTCAGCCTGGTTTGCTGGGAATGCCTTTAAATCAGATCTTGAACCAGCACAATGCTGCCTCCTTTCCAGCAAGTAGTTTACTCTCAGCAGCAGCCAAAGCACAGCTAGCAAATCAAAACAAACTTGCTAGTAACAACAGTAGCAGCAGTAGCAATTCTGGAGCTGTTGCTGGCAGTGGCAACACTGAAGGACATAGCACTTTAAACACCATGTTCCCTCCTACTGCCAACATGCTTCTCCCAACAGGTGAAGGGCAAAGTGGTCGAGCAGCACTAAGAGATAAGCTGATGTCTCAGCAAAAAGACTCATTGCGGAAAAGAAAACAGCCACCTACCACGGTTTTGAGTTTGCTCAGACAGTCTCAAATGGATAGTTCTTCAGTTCCTAAACCTGGGCCCGACTTGCTAAGGAAGCAAGGTCAGGGTTCTTTTCCCATCAGTTCAATGTCTCAGTTACTGCAGTCTATGAGTTGTCAAAGCTCTCACTTGAGTAGCAATAGTACCCCGGGTTGCGGGGCCTCAAATACTGCTTTGCCTTGCTCTGCTAACCAGCTGCATTTTACAGATCCCAATATGAACTCCAGTGTTCTTCAGAATTCATTGACACAGAGCATACCTTTAAGAGGGGAAGCCGTGCACTGCCACAATGCAAACACTAACTTTGTTCACAGTAACAGTTCAGTCCCAAACCACCACCTTGCAGGTTTAATAAATCAGATTCAGGCTAGCGGGAACTGTGGGATGCTCAGTCAGTCGGGCATGGCTTTAGGAAATTCATTACATCCCAATCCACCTCAGTCAAGAATTTCAACGTCCTCTACTCCAGTGATACCAAACAGCATTGTTAGCAGCTATAATCAAACAAGTTCTGAAGCAGGTATGGTTTTATTAGAAAAAAGTACCCAGAGGTACTAAACTTTTCTACATTTTTTAAAATTTGTACCAGAATATTTATTATAAGAAATGATCCTCTCCCCATTGTAAAACTCTCATCACTTCTTTAGTATTTATAATTTTATTTACAGAATGCTAGGGATTTGTCTGTTAGAAAAAAGAACAGCCAAGGGGATTCCCTCTGTTTCCGTTATTTGTTGTCCATCTGTGTCAGTGCAAGTATCAGTCACCATTCAGTTGGTCACATAGCCATTGGACTGTAAGCTGCAGAAGAAGCCATAGAAGGCAGGGTGTGCTGGTTCACGAGCTTGGCACGCGGTTGGCGCTAGCATGAAAGCCATCTCCCCTAGCCTTTGTTTGTATTCAGGTAAATGAAGCTCCTCTTGGAAGACCCAAAAAGGCAAAAATAAGTGGATTTTCTGTTCTTGCTGCTGACCAGAAATAGGTGAATGGATAGGAAAAGGTAACCAGAAGTTGTATGAAGTAGAAAGCTGTCTTCTAATGTGTTTTCTTATCCGAGTTTGCTATCCTTTATTATTATTTGTTAGAGAAAATTTAAAAATGGACATTGACAACTCCCTTTTTAAAAAGGGTAATAATTTAAGTTTTCTAATAAAAAAAAAAGGCTTGAAAACCTGATTTCCAGAATTTTTGATCTTGAAATTGTTTTTTACAGTTTCCTTGTAGGACTAAACCATTATTTTTAGCATTGACAGTAAGGTTTTCGAACCCAAATTATTATGTCTCTTCATCCGCTACTAATACAGAAAAGTTATTTAAAAGCAGACACATTAGAAGGAACTGTATTTTGTGCAATAGAGTCATTAGAAGTTGTTACTAAAAACTGTAAAGAGGCACTAAAGAGGGAAATTCATTGAGGCATCCAAAAATTTTATGATGAAAACAGTACAATATCCAAAATGCAGCACTAACAATTTGGGAAGTTTGTGGGAAATGACAGGGAGGAAATAAAAGGTGGTTGTAGAAACAATATTGTTCAAATATGAAAACAGTGGGCTTTAAAAACCGGAGTGCTAACGGAACATGGGAAAACTGCCGAGGTTGTTAATGATAAGCTACTGTGTAGGTCTGTGCAGACTGTATTGTACCATCCTGCCGGAAAAGCATTACAACCTTCTTTCTTCTCTTCATTGCTGAGGGTGAAATCAGGTGTTCTTTCCCCTGTGTCACGACTTCATTTGCCATCCTCCACGACTTGTGTTGTGTGTTATGTCCCATTGTCAGTGTTTAATGAAGAACTATTCATTGACGCCTTGTGTTAAAAAGAATGTAAGGTAGGGAAGATAATTGAAATCATCAGTGCCTTCTTGAAACTTGTAATCTAAGGAATCTCATGAAAATATTTTTTGTGTTTAAGAGGATACTTGCTCCAAATGGGCTTCCACTTTTTCAATGATTCATATTCCTTTTTAGATAATTCCACACAAATGAAAATTTAATCTTATGCATTTAACAGATTAAAGTTATATGAAATAAGCAATTGTTCTAAAATGCACAATATTTATTAAGCATGCCTTCAATCACTTAGATGAGGTGTTGTTAACCTCATATCTTTACATTTTGATACCCCTTACCTCAACTTAACTTCATTTCAGGTCTCCATTCATATTTGAAAGTGTATACATTTTATTAATGATGTATTTAAATTTATAATGGAAAAGACCAGCATTTACATTCTTGTTCTGCTTGTCAAGTTTAGATTTATTTTACATAGTCTGAAACATGTATTTTCTTGTTCCACTCATCTCTGTAAAACATTGGCTCTGGATTCCCAGTGCTGGGAGTGTCAAAACACACAGGCTGAAAATTTATTCGTATAAGAAAACTATTGGTTTATAAATAGCTAAAAGGGACAAGAATAAATGTCTAGTAAATGATATGGATATGATCATATGAAAGCTAACAGAAAGCATATGCTTGATGGATACCTAGGTCAGCAAGAATTTTTAAGATATTAAACTCTATAAAATTAAATGTTCATTGAGATCTGATATGCAGCTAGTTATGAAAATGAGTAGCTTTACAAATTAATATAATTCTTTCAATAAGCTGAATATTGAAGAAGTCTCATGCCATTTTTCTTTTTGATATGTAGTGAATTTTGTCACAGAGTGTTCTGTCATTGTCGCTGCTTACACTAAATATTTATATACACTGACACTTATGCATCCATCAAATAAGCACCCAGGCTGGTGTTCAGAGGTAGACAGCAGATGGTAGTCACCATCATCTTCATAAACTTTGTTGGGTATTCCTAGCACACCAGGTAGAAAAGAGAAGAAAAACACTTTTATTCTTAAAGTGTTGCTTATAGCTGTTATTGATTACATATTATGTGCCAGGTGACTTACCTATATTATTTCTAATTTGTGCAGTTTCCCAAAGTATAAGATATTATGTCCCATTTTCCAGATGAGTAAACTGAGCATCAGAGAATGTAACTGCCCAAAATCATACATAACTGAATTAGGAGTTGAACTCAGGTTCGTCTAACTCTAAAATCCATTTTCTTCTCAACTGCATAAGTTCTTCAACTAAAGCATTTAGTGGTCAAAAATACTCTTCCCTTTCAACATCTTAAAAACTATCTAACAGATAATGAATTGAAGCACATTGACACCTTAGAAGTCTCATTCTTAAACTTTAGATGGACTTTTAGACAAAAGTCAGTTACTTTTGCCTTCTCTGTTTAGATTCTGATATCATAGTATACAATGATTAGAATGTGTCAATGCAGATGAAATGTCCAAAATATAAGGGAACTGCCTTTCTTTTGTGAATCATGTTTGGTGACCTTTATTTTAATGAATTGGTATCATCTCAGATGAGAACGAGTTTCCTTGTGGCTCACGTGTCATCAGACTTTTGCAGGAGACAGTGGTGCACATGCCGGTTTTGCCACCCGAGCAGGACAGCGTGGGGGAGGGTGAAAGAGGCTCACAGGTGGCCGGGCCGACTGCTTTAACAGAGCCGGAGCAGAACTGGGGTCGCCTTTTGGTCCGTGCAGTGCCTTTTCCGCTCTCGGAAGCAACAGCCCAAAAATGTCACATTAAGACATCAATTAAGATAAGAAATCACTTGCTCTGAAAATGCCTCATTCTATTGGTAATTTATTTTTTAAAAGTCCTTTTTAAATTAAAGAGTTTTTCTATCATAAACACCCAAATAAAGACTCTGGGGCCTATCAGTGAATTCTATGGGACACACTCAGGTGTGAATGGGACGCAAAGATCATAAAAGAAAAACAAAATCAGATAAAATGTGAAATGCTTAGAAGACATTTTTAAAACTTAAGACCACCAAGGCTTTAATAGTTTTATCTGGAGTTTTGAAACTGCCTTTCCACTAAGCTTACTAAAGCTTTCTAAAGCTTGCGTTGTAAAGTTCACAGGTTTCTATTAGCTTTGTGAATATCAAATTACAGGTAAAGTTTAGTATTTCCAAGTGACAGATCTAGAAACTGACTGGTAGGACACTTGGTGGCATTCCTCACATTGTAAAGCAAGGCACTGGTGCACCTGGCAGCCTCACCCCAAGTTCCTGCCCTCACTGCAGACTGCTGGGCGCAGGTGTGTTCTGGGAGCCATCACCAGTGTACTTTGAAAGCAACTTTCAGTTTATGAAAGGCGACAAGCTTCAGCATGTTCTCTGGTGTTTTGGTTTAGAAAGGAATCCAAAATCCAGGTGCCCTTGACTGGCAAATTTCATCAGGCTGTGCCTCCTCAGGCCTCTCACTACTGCCCCTGCTGGCCCTAGGACAGAAACACACGTGCCAAGAACCCAGGCTTCCGCAGGGGACCCCGTTCCGGCTGCACCCCCAGCCTCTGCAGATGACCTCACACTGTCGTTGTCCACGTTACAGCCCATCCTTTCCCTGGCCCTCTACTTTTTTTCCAGTTTTCAAAGAAAAAGATTTAGACTACTCTGCTAACCAACTTAACTGAGCTTTACCTTCCTCCAATATGATAAAGTCATTAAATATATCAACTTTTTCACTTTAAAATGCTTTTTCTATTCTCTTATTTTTTCCTAATAAAATCATTTAATCAACTCTTCTAAACACGTGAGAATAAATCCTCTGAGTTTGTACTAGAAGAGAAAATAATTCAAACATTTATTTGCCTTAACACTTAAAGATATGCATCGACTGAGAAGAATATAAATAAACCTACAAGTGTATGTTTGTGGATATTTATATATATATATTTTTTAAAACTCTGGAAAAGAAAGTTTTATTTCAGTACAAATACATTTGACTGAAACTCCATACAACCATTGATATGGTAGGTATAAGAAAATGAAATAGAAAACCACAAAGGAACACTCTGGGCAAAAAAACTTTGAACTAATAAGATTGTTGTTGTTTTGTTGTATGTATTTATTTATTCTTAGAACATGCCAGAAAGACAATAAAGGGAAATTACCATTCCCTACATGTCACAGGTACAAACAAATTTATGGGATAAAAATGCTCAAGGGTAGATCGTACTATGTAAGCTAAACCACTCAAAATATGGGAAGTTGCTGTAGAAGTAACCTAGTCTCTTATAGACTAACGTAAAGTGAAGAAAGCCAGAGGCATTTTTGAGGTCGTGACTGAATATGTAGTTAGTAGTTTCTATTGAAAGCATTTCCACCCGAATTTTTAAATGCTGACTACCTTTTATCCTCAATGCACAAGGCCTGTAAGTTAAAAGTTGCCCTCTGCTCTTGTTTTTTAACCAAATACCAAAACTTTATTAAATTATTGACTGTGTGATAATAATCTATGTATTCTTTTGGTTTAATTTTTGCAAAATGAGCCATTTCTTTTTTGTTGTAAGATATTTTTACAACAGGCTGTGTCTTGCTGTTTAAGAAGGTTTCCTCATACCAGGGTTACGCCTCTTGTTTACATATTCCAGGTTTAATGTTTCCTTGTGTTAAAAAAAAAGCTAAAATATGTTTGACTTTAGACACTGA